ATAGCCTCCTACTGAGTATAAGGTTCTAAAATGAGAGAAATGAGATCAAATCCCGTCTTTCCAGCGCCTTTTATTCATATGCGGATGTCGCAATTGCGACCCTGGGTTCGCAATTGCGAATCCTTGGAATTGCAAAAAATCCGGAATTCGCATTGGCGAATTCTGCTCCTCTCGCAAATGTGACCACTTGATCGCAATTGCGAACCTACCCAATCCCAGTCTTGCTTCGCAATTGCAAGTGAGGCATCATATTTGCGATACCCGCCCCCTACTGTTCATTTCACAATTGCAAGGCTGGTGCACATAATTTTGATAACTAGAGCACCAACACACTAGCACACCAGCAACCCAAAATAAGTTCAATCAAATCCGAAACACGCCTGAAACTCACCCCAGCCCTCGGGGCTCCAAACCAAAAATCCACACAAGTGTAAAAATATCACACAAACTCGCTCGCATCAAAACCCCAAAAGAACTTCTAGAACCACGAATCGTACATCAAAACACATGAAATTCAAAAGAAAACTCAAGAATCACTAGAATTACAACCAAGCATCTGAATCCTATCAAACCAACTCCAAATTACACCAAATTTTACCGACAAGTTCCAAATAGCAAAACAGACCTATTCCATGTCCCAAAACAAAAATTCGAACCCAATAGCCATAATGTCAACCTACAGTCAAACTTAGAGAAACATCTAAACTTCAAATTGCCAACTTTCGACAAAAGAAGTCAAATCAACCTAGGGACCTCTGAATTCAATTTCGGGTATACGCCCAAGTCCAAAATCAAGATGCAAACTTATCGGAGCCATCAAAACACCGTTTCGGGTTTGTTTTCATAAAAGTCAAACTTTGATCAATATTTCCAACTTAAGCTTCTAAACTAAGAACCAAATGGTCCAAATAAACCCAAAACCTTCCCGGAACGAAACTTACCATCCTCGCAAGTCATAAAACCACAAATAGGGAAACAGGGTCAATATATAAAATGACCAGTCGTGTCGTTATATATTCCCACTCTTAAAATAAATGTTCGTCCTCAAACGTGCATAGAAACATACCTAAAGTGATAAAAAAGTGAGGATAACGACTCCACATGTCATGCTTGGTCTGCCAGGCTGCCTCCTCGACCGGTTGACCCCTTTATTAATCCTTCATTGAAGCGATATTCTTTCACCTTATCTTCCGGACCTGTCTGTCCAAGATAGTCATCGGCTCCTCAACATAAGTCAAATCCTTGTCGAATTAGGCTGAGCTGAAATCTAATACATATGACAGATCACCGTAATACTTCCAGAGTATGGAAATATGGAACACCGGATGAACTGCCGATAAGAAGGATGGCAATGCAACCCTGTAGGCCACCTCACCAACTCTCTTAAGGACATCAAAAGGACCTATATACCTAGGGCTCAACTTGCCCTTCGTCTCGAATATCGTCACACGCTTCATGAGCGAAACTCTAAACAAAACCCTCTCTCCCATCATAAATACTACATCACAAGCCCTCCGATCAGCATAACTCTTCTGCCTAGACTGTGTTGTACGATGTTGATCCTTAATCAACTTGACTTTCTCCAAGGCATCCCAAACCAAATCAGTGCCAAATAACCTAGTCTCCCTGGCTCAAACCAACCAATTGGAGAACGACACCGCCTCCCATATAAGGCCTCATAAGGAGCCATCTGAATACTCGATTAGTAGCTGTTGTTGTAGGTGAACTCTGCGAGCGTTAAGAACTGATCCCATGAAACCCTGAAATACATAGCACAAGCACATTTCATTTTCTCTAAGATCTGAATAGTGCACTCGAACTGCCTGTTCGTCTAGGGGTGAAATATTGTGCTTAACTCAATCTATGTGCCTAACTCACGCTGCACAACTCTCCAAAAATACGATGTGAACTATGTGCCTTGATCGGAGATAATAGACACCGAAACACCATTAAGACAAACAATCTCATATATACAGACCTGAGCCAACTGCTCTGAAGAGTAGGTAGTCATAACTGGAATGAAGTGTGCATACTTGGTTAGTCTATCCACGATAACCCATACTGCGTCATTTTTCTTGAAGGTTCGTGGGAGCCGAACCATGAAATCCATGGTAATACGCTCCCATTTCCACTCTAGAATATCAAGTTTCTGAAGAAAACTATTTGGCCTCAGATACTCGTACTTCACCTGCTGACAGTTTATGCACCGAGCAACATAATCCACTATATCTTTCTTCATTCTTCTCCTCCGGTAACACTGCCTAAAATCTTGATACATCTTAACAACACTCGAATGAATGAAATACCAAGAACTATAGGCCTTCTTAAGAATCAACTAATGCAACCCATCCATATCGGTCACACAAATCCGGTCCTGCATCCGCAAGACCCCATAAATATTAAAGCCATACTATGCCATGGCACAATGTCAAGGCAAAGGGTGGATATGGCGAGTGCATTTTGGATGTCAGTGTAGAGATCATGTCAAAGTAGAGATTGATGTTCATATGCCACCAAAGATCGAGAACCCGATACTGATGGTCGACGAAAGAAATGGGTGATTTCATTGTCTTTCGTGAGTCTAAGGTGCTTTTGAATGAGGTGATATGCCGATGAGTCGGATGGCCATGAGAAAGCCATGTTTTCCAGATCGTGCAACCATATTGCGAAGAGTGGAATCCATGGACTATAAACTTTGGCATGATCATAGCAGAGATCTTGCCAAGGATGCGTGCAATGCATCAAGTTGAGTGTCTTTCCTATGGGAGAAGACCTTTGTGCTGCCTAAGGGCATTGCCAAGGTAAGGAAACAGATTCGAGGGTATAGCGAAGCTTCGGAACTTGGCGGATTTCCAAGTTAGAAGGTGTCATTCTGGAAAGAGGTACGTCGAATGATTGGGGACCATGAGTGTCTAGGTGCGAGGCACACTCAATTGGGAAGCCGTGCTAGTAGGGCCAAGAGGGTGCCTGTCTACAGGGCGAGTATTGAAGTACTACCGAGAGCATTGGCTACCTGCTGAGGAAGTGACAACTGGAAAACAAAGAGCTTTGTTCGGAAATGCGGCGATGCTATGACTTTGGGAATGTAGTACTCACCAAAGGTCATCCCAAGAGCTGGCCGAATGCCAAGTGGGATGGCAGAGCTAAGATGTATCCTCCATATTGATTGTGGGAGGATCCCGCCTATGTAAGAGGCATATGGGCGAAGTCGTGGGTCTGGAAGCGAACACGTCTTAAAGGTAGTGAGGGCATGGAAAGCTACGGGAGCGGAATGCTACGTGAGCTATGCCAAGAGGGCGTCTTAATGCTATGAGAGCCATGCAAAGGGCATCGTTAGGCTACGGGAGAAATGTCAAAAGAGCACATTGATGTGCTAACCTGTGAAGGAAAGCTTCAGACAGACATGAAGGCCGTGAGGGTCATGGTGTGATTGACCAGTGTGGGTCAATCACAAAGTTAGACACCAGAGGGTGCAAGTGCGGAGGCACTTTCCAAGTGAACACCGAATGGAGGTGAAGTGCAGAGGCACGCTTGGAAGATACTTGGGGGAGAAGTGCATGGGGCACGACTCCTTTTTAGAAAGGACTTCGAGGAAGTCCAACCCACAGGACAAAGGGAGCTTGAATGAGCATACCTGAGGGGGAAGACTCCAGGATGCCTTAAGCCATGATGTGTCATCGGGGACGATGACATTATGAGTGTGGGTGGATGTCACAACTCGCAGTTTGGAGTTGTGATTTCGGCCAAGAACTGGTGAGAAAAGGTCCTTCTGATGGTCTGACGTAGAACAGTCTACTCGGGCAACTTGGGCTTTTTAATTTTAAGCATATATAAGGGGGGTATAGGTGATGAAAGCTCCGACCTGCCTCCCCCATGCGTGCTGCCACCGAGCCGTATCGAACGAGCTGCCTTGGGGGCAACCTCAAGGGCCTGCCTAGATGACTCAAAGAAGTGTCAAAGGTATCCACAAGAGTTTGGGAACTCGTATGGACGGCGCGACGCCTTCGTGCCAGCGTTGGGCATCAAAGTGGTGCTGGAGGCTCGATGTGTCGAACGGCCAGCCTTGCGGGCTGCCGAATGTTGGAACGAGACCTCCGTTCTAATTGGATACTTGACGCACCTGTCATAGGGGCATCATGTGTTGACTTGTGAGCATGGCTTAGGTTCAACGATGGAAGCAAGGGTCCGTTGGCCTAAAGGTGCATGTGTAGGCGACACTGCACTAATTCGGAATGGAAGCGTGCTGCAAGAGGGCTATGTATGGGCATGGCACGAAAGACGTGCATGACAATGGCCAAGGGCTAAAGGTTGCCTTACTCGGGCGAGGCACGAGCTAGTCGCGGATGCACTAGGCGAGTGTCAAGCTTGAGGATTGGGTTGTGCACACGGGAGCGATGCTCAGTCTTGGGCGAGGGACAAGGCATGTCCTAAGCCAATCCCCCCAGGGCACGCATGGATTGTGATCCTAAGATGAAGCGCCACGACATGTCTAGGGCCAAGGGCCTAGACATCTTACGTGCTACACAAGTTGGGGCGAGCCTACGGGCGAGCCCCACCAACAGGCACGGGATCATGCTTGGGAATCCTGGGACAAGAAACAGGCTGGCCCGCAGTGAGGGGAACTACGGGCGCGGCACGAGCGAGCAGGTGCCGCTACCCAATGTAAGGATTTGCATCACCGTGCTGCACTGTGTTCTTAAGGACAAGCAAATAAGGGTCATCATACTGATGCGTCTTGATGAGCTCATATAAAGAAGACCAAGAACCACGCAAGCAAGAACCCAGCTAGGCTCCGAAACATCTAACCTCACTAACCGATTAGCCAAAGCCTGAGCATCCAATGCTAACGGGCTCTCTCCAATTGAAATATATGCAAGGCTACCCATACTCTTAGCCTTCCTACTCAAGGCATCGGCCACCACATTGGCCTTCTCGGGATGATATAAAATGGTGATATCATAATCCTTTAATAGCTCTAACAGCCTCCGTTGCCTCAAGTTCAGATCTTTTTGCTTGAACAAGTGTTGCAGACTTTGATGATCTGTTCATACCTCACAAGACAGCCGTAGAGATAGTTCCTCAGAATCTTCAATGCGTGGACAATGGCTTCCAAGTCTAAATCATGTACTGGGTAGTTCTTCTCATGGGGCTTCAACTGACACGAAGCATATGCAATCAATGTACTCTCATGCATCAATACACATCCAATGCCAATTCGCAAAGCATTACAATACACTATATAAAACCCCTATGCTAAAGGCAAAACTAAAATTGGACATATGGTCAAGGAGATCTTGAGTATATGAAAGCTCTCCTCACACTCGTCGGACGAACTGAATGGGGCACCTTTCTGAGTTAATCTGGTCAAAGGAGCTACGATTTATGAAACCCTCAACGAAATGGCGATAATAACCAGCCAAGCCTAGAAAACTCCAGATCTCATTAGCAGAAGATGGTCTCGGCCAACTCCTGCTTCCACTTTCTTCGAATCCACCTAAATCTCATCACTAGATACCACATGGCCCAAAAATGCCACCAAATCAAGCCAATGATACCATGACCTCAAATCTGTCACGACCCAAAGCAAAGGGCGACGACACCCGGTGCCTTACTCAATCGAGTACCAACATAACGTATCTTTCTTATCACACCATCATGGGTAAATGGTCCAAAAGAGCCATCATGAGATAACCGAAATAAAATAAATATGGAATACTAGATATAGGACGACCCAATATGATATAGAAACTTATACATGTCACATACTAGCCTATAAGAACTCAACTTGTAAGATTGAATAGCTCTGTGAATCATGAAACATTTATAATGTCATGCATATGCGTATAAATAGCATATCATGCGTAGGTATATGCATACATAACGTCGTCAAGCCTTTGAGGGCATCCCATCATATCATCTCGGCCTCTATCGGCGAAATAATCAACGTATACTAGCTGATCAGGTGGTTGTGTGTATATAATGCCATTACCTTTCCCCATACCCCATATACACATAATATATGCGTATATAAGTCCATCTTGTCATGGGTCAATGTACATATATAAATAAATGCAATGCATAAGAAGTAAGTGAATAAGATTTCTCGGGATGTCATAAGATAAATATGCCTTAGGTTAATATCATGAAATAAACTCTATCAACTTACGTATTTTCTAAGACCCATGAATAGACGATATAATAATAAGACACATGGGGAATCAAGAACATAGGCACCCTTAGTACTTCAAAGAATAGAGTCATTTGTGAATGTTCATCGTTTCCTCATTTTGTTTGTATCATATGGATAATGCCTAAAGGAAAAACGGGATAGCCTTAACATACTTTAACCCCATTGAGTCCTTAATACCTTCCAAGATACTATTCAAACAACTAAACTCAATATACCATAGCATAAGGAGATTCAAAATCAGTGCTGAGTAAGGGCTAAGTCCGTAACTTAAGCTATTAGCTCATTGACATAAATTCGACAGCATCTCCCCTGTAGCAAGGGCCTCCTCCAATACAATATACCAACAACAACAACCAGAGCAATACAATAAGAACAACATCAACAATAGGGTACAAAATATTTTATTAACAAGTCATCAACATATCACGACGAGCGACAAACTTGGATTGAATCCCTTTAGAACCCTTCAACCCCATTATCGTTCATTCATGAACTTAGTAAGATATCTAGTATAATAACTAATACCTTTCAAATGATTTCCACCCTTGTACTAAATTTCATTGATACCCGAAATTGGATTATCACTCTTTAAAAATTGCACAGGCGCGCCGCATGGGGAGACGCGCCATGTGGGGCATTAGTGGGGAAATCCAGAGGGCTAATATCTAACAGGCAGTAGAGGATTGCACAAGTGCGACTCCCCACGCGCCATGGCAATGGGGATTTTTCAGAGTACAAACCAAACTTTGATTTTTGACATCCAGACTTGGTCCTCGACCCCCGAACATGATGCTGGCTTAGTCCCTTGGGTTTTTACTCAGACTTCAAAGCTCCAAATAGCTCGAATTTATTCCATAACATCTACATAGCTTGGAATCACTCCTTTAAGGATAAAACACACAATAAGTGCAAAACACTATCAATTAAAGCTCAAACATGAATAAAGTGCAGTGAACTGCATTGCATTAAGTTACTAAAACACGTACTTATAGCGTACCATCAACACCCTACACTTGAACCATTTCTCGTCCTCGAGCAATCAAACTACACTTCATATTTACACGAGATTTTTCAGCAACTCTCCTAAC